AAATGCAAATGCGTTGTCACCCGTGAGGACTAAGATGGAATGCCTCATTTCCAGTAAAAAAGGTCTCCGGTTCTCTACACTAACCAAACGAAACACATCACCATTAAGTTGCTAATTTACGCTGATATTCTGTGAGAGCGTGGTCTTATCCCGGTCGAGCCGATCCATTCGTGCTACAACCATAATACAGCTGCAGTGTGACTCTATCACGTTAAAAAAATTAAATAAACAAAATATTAAGTATGATATATAGAACTGCGTCATTTATAAGTTTTCCTGCTATAATAAAGGTGGAAAATGTTCTTAATATAAAATGTACTTGTAGCTTGCAATCATTACATCTATACAAATAAATAAAATTGAAGTGTCTGTTTGTAATGTCAAAATACCAGCTTTTTAATAAATGCATATGAAAGTATATACGGTACTTATAACAAAAACACAATTTTTAAAATTTTTGTCTGTCTGTCGGTCTGTCTGTCTGTCTGTTTGTTCCGGCTAGTCTCTGAAACGGCTGGACCGATTTCGACGGGACTTTCACTGGCAGATAGCTGATGTCATAAGGAGTAACGTAGGCTACTTTTATTTTAGAAAAATAATTAGGGTTCCGCGCAAAAAAACTAAAACCCCAAATAACACGCGGGCGAAGTCGCGAGGAACAGCTAGTAGGCAATAAAAGTAAACTGACTTTAAACGGCACCCTATAATATGTATTTTTTTTCAACAGAAAATAAAGCAGATTGAAGTCACATAAATATTATTACCTGTCAGATATTCGATTTTACTATCAAATTCACTGTGGATTAAAATTTATTAATAACTCGACCACAGCCCTACCTATCGAATTCAGATTTTGTAATTTCCTTTTTTTGGCTCTAAACAAACATACTATGTTGTGAATGTGAGTAATTAATGCGAAAACTAATTATTGTGAAAATTTCTTTAGATAATGTAAAACGTTTCTCTCACATTATTCATATTTTTAAAATTACACATTTTGCGTTTAGTTTATTTAACATTCAACTACACTTTTTCGCCCAAAAGGGTGTGAAAAATTTAAACAGATCCGGAACGTGACCACCATTTTTTATGCTGTCCGCTTATCGAAATTTACCGATAAACATCCAATTCGAATGAACTGCATTTTAAAAGTTCACAAACGATTTAACTTCGCCGCTCGCCTTCCAGGTAGGGTTACCACATATTTAATACTTCTTATAGGACATTTGATTAAATTCCTATGTTAACGGTGTATGTGATTCTAGTGTCATTACAAATGCACTTTTGTAAATATGAAGTTTTAATCATAATATTGATTTTCAAAACTTGTGCAAAAGCCTAATATTAGTACAACACTTTGGATAAAGAGAATGTATGGTTCAACTTTACCCTGTCCTTAATTCTATTTTTTATTTATGTCTTCCCTATTTGAACGTTTTATTTACGAATGCGTTCCAAATTCGTCATTTAAAATTCAGATCGCGACCAAATGGCGGGAACTGAGCTTTATGCTCTTACAAAATTATTTTTAGCAATGAATTACTGCTTTTCTTTCTTAAAGTTGGCGTCTTAGAGACTATTTTTGCTTACCTTGAACTACAAAATGAAAGTTTTCTATATATTACGATTCATTTAGCGCATTCGATAACTGTCAATTGTTGTCGAGTCGGCCATAAGAAGTAAATAATATATTTATTTGCTGAAGGGACCGACTTTTTATGGACGCTTTTTCATGGAAATTGCACAATTGCACACGCAAATACATAAAATTTCGTCAGTGGGTTTCTTGTTTGGCTCTTTGTGACCGCAGTAAAAATACAAATGTGTTCGTGGCGCTACATACTGCTAATGGAATTTAAAATATTTAGTTTATTTTATCATATAATTTAGTTCCAAAAATTTCACCTTCTTTTTCAAGAAATATATAATATAGTGTAATATAGTAGATATATTTTTCAAAAGTAGATATATTTTTATCACCACCGACTGTCCAAGGCTGGGCATAGACGACTCACTAAGATTTGTGGGACTTACAGTACCATAATTGTAGAGTTATTGGCATTGCAGTTAAATAAGTCCTCTTGGATTTGTGGTGGCGACGTATATCATCGTCTCATATCGTCACTGGAGTGTCATTAGCGGTAACTACTATCAGATTAACTATCTATTAACCTACAAGAAAATGTTAGTCAAGGACTCCAACAGGTGGTTAGTATAATTATCCCTTAGCGTGTAGGTTCCAAGGGTGGTGGTGCGGCAGGATCAGGGCGCGATATTTCGAAAAACAAAATGTCAACAGCAGCAATTTGATAAAACGCGTCGTTGGTACCGCTGGCGTGTCCTAAGTGTTTGGCGTAGACTCCCATGAGCTACTCGTTTAACGCCAATAATAATAACTTTTGAAAAACTATATGCTTAAATCGTGATCGTTTGTCATCCTTATTTTTATAAAAGAAAAATGTGTAGTTGTGTGGTCCTCTCTAATCCAAGTCCATGGGCTGCAATATCCACTTAGTAGTGAAGACTGTTAGCTCTTGTTTCAGTCATGATTATAAAAATAAATTTTCAAAAAATGCATAAAAAGTAAATTATTTAAGCAGTAAAATAATTAATTGATAACAGTGATTTCGACCACGCCGTTCACAGAGCATTTAGGTACGAAAATGACTTATTACAGCGACTGTTCTATCGTACTTGAAAAGTATAGAGCCATACTTAGCCTAGCTCAGGTGTCGCTCAGATGCATGAAGACAAATATTGGATTTGTTAAATACACATAAAAGCTTCAATTTTTTTTAATCTTGCATGGTTGACCCAAGACCCAAGTTGTAGCTATTTTTATAGTATAGTTGTAGCACGAATGGGTTGGCTCGACCGGGGAAGGACCACGCTCTCACATAATACCAGCGTAAAATAGCAGCTTAATGTTGCTGTGTTTCGTATGGTGTGTGTAGAGAACCGGACACCCTTTTTACTGGAAAAGAGACATTCCATCTTAGTCCTCTAGGCTGACAACGCATCTGCATTTTGATTCGCAAACGAGGATAGATGTAGATGTCTATGGGCCGCAGCAACCTCTTACCATCAGGTGGACTGTGTGCTCGTTTGTCACCCTATTCCTATAAAAAAAAATTAAACCAAACCAACAAATCCAAAATTACGATAACACAAGCATAGCAAATAAACTGTAGTTGCAAAATTATAATAAATATATACCAATTTTAAAATATAAGAGCAGTTATTTAATGTTTCATCTATAGTTAATGAAAACCCAGAATTATTAAAAAATGCTAATCATGTTTTCTGTATTATAATTTTAAAAATAAACAATTACCTACGCTATAAGTAAATGTATTTATATTATTATTGTTAATCTGTCTGAATATCTACTTAAAAGTATTTTATTCATTTTCAAATTATGGAGATTTTTTAAGACATTACTAAAAAATAAAAAATAAAAGAATGCTTTAACTTCTGTAGAACTGTCAGTTTTGAAAAAAAAAACAAGACATAAGGATACATAAAATACATATTATATATTATACTATGATACATATTATATATTATTCATAAAATACATATTATATATTATTCTATTGTCTGCCTATTCCACGTAATTGGTATCCGAAACTCAAATCTAATCGATAAAAACACCGATAGAACCATTTATTCCTCATATGTCGTTACAACGTCACTCTAATAGACCCGACACGGACGTCTCAGATCAAATGGACGATAAAAAACGATGGCCGAGCATTGCGTCGTCAGCGCCACGCCCAGTGGCTGTTTTGGCCAGTGCTTGTCGCAATGTCAAATAGTCCGAGCTCTTATGAGGGTATCGCTGGGGTACAATTATTTGGATTCACATCACCAGCATTTTAATCAAAGTTTTGCAAACATTTAGATGTTAAGAAGTTTGGTTTGTTTTGCTAACAAACATATTTATACTTATACCTTTCGAAAAAAAATTATTTAGTAGACGTTTTAGTTTACGTTTACCTGAAGGGTAAACATAGACATTGAGTATTTTACTAATAATTTAAAAATGAAAAATTTTGTACAACCGACTTCATTATAAATTATTAGGAATAATTCAAAAACTATAGGTCAAACCTTGATCAAACTTATATGGGACCACATGAGAAGCACCAGCTTTCAAATAAAAAAAAGAATAATTGAAATCGGTTTACCCAGTAAAAAGTTATGAGGAAACACACATTAAAAAAAGAATATACAGTCGAATTGAGTGCCGTCTCCTTTTTGATATGGGTAGATACTAATAATTATATAATAATATTAAGATACTAACAATCAACTCTATCATACATTGTTTCGGTCTCCATTGCTGATTCTTTATAATTGTGTAAAATGATATTTTAATATCTTGCTTGGTACAAATTTTATTAAAACTTCGGCTTTTTTAAAAACATACGATTTTTACACAACCTATGAAAGAAGATCTTTTCATTTGAATTCTCTTACACCACAAGACATATATACTCGTATAATTTATTACGTATTAATTAAGATTAGAGAAGAGAGAAATGCATATCGTATATGAATAGTTTGCATTCTTACTGCCATATTTCCATATTATATTAAAAAAGTTCCAGGCTCATTTCTGAAAGGGTTTTAAAGCAAGGAATTGTCGACCGCGCTGCCTTTGGAGCGTGGTGGTGAACTTCACATGTCTTAATTCTTTTTTCTTTGATGCAGGTTTCCTTACGATGTATTACTTCACCGCCAGACACGTGGTAAATTAGCACTTTAAATTGCAATTAACTATTTAATTGCTGTCGCCTAGGATTAAACCTCAGCTGCTTGATTCTCTACACTAACCATACGAATAACAGCATTAAGCTACTATTTTACGTTTTCACGCGTGATACTCACCCGTTCGAGCCAACCCATTCGTGCTACAATCAAATTATAGCTGCAGCGTGACTCTGCCACGAATACGTTTTGTATACCGTGCATTTAAATTTTTGTTTATTTTACAGGCAATGACTCAGAAATAGATCCAGAAGATTCAAGCACTGACACGCCTCGAGAGAACAGCAAAGCGCGAAGACGACGCACTGCATTCACCTCCGAACAGCTGTTGGAGCTTGAGCGGGAATTCCATGCGAAAAAATACCTTAGTCTCACAGAAAGGTCACAAATCGCATCGGCATTAAAGCTGAGTGAAGTTCAGGTCAGTTGGTGTATAAAACATTAATATTAAGTAGAGCCACGTTGCAGCGGTTTATACTGCAGTGCGAATGGGCCAACCCAAGTGTGAAAGGATCACGCTCTGGCGTTCTGCACTAGCGTAAAATAGCAGCTTAATTCTGCTGTTTCGTATGGTGAGTGATGAGAAACAGAGACATTTTATAATGGTAATAAGGTATTCCATTTTAGCCTTCACGAATGACAACATATATGTATTTTGATTCTTAATCTATGACAAATGTCAAGTACTTTACTTGTAAGTCTGGCGCCTTTCTTTGGAACACAAATTAAACACAAATTTTGTGTTGTTTTGATAGAATTTAATATGAAATCAAATGGCAACCTCGTACCGGTGGACGAGTGTAGGGCGGGCTCCGCACTAGATGGAGTGATGACCTGGTAAGATATGCAGTAAATCGATGGATGCAGTGGCTCAGGACCGTGCTTTGCGACATTCCTTGGGGAGGTCTATGTTCAGCAGTGAACTTGTGAAGGGTTGTAATGATGAATGATGATGATGGTGAGATATGAAATAATAAGTATACGGAAGTCATGGGGATAAACACTCGTCTTAAATTTCGCAGTACGTGAGCGACCTTAGTTTTTTCCCCGCCAACCCCAATCTTGTAAATTGTTAGTTTTTTATGTTTATCATATGCTGAGCAGTGAAGGAAACCCTTTATTCGAAAATAATTATATACTGAAATGACAATGAATTAAGGGGCATAAATAGTGTATTTTATAAATAATCATATTTTTGAAGAAAACTACTTTTTACGGATTTTATCGCGTTTAATTTACTATTTTAATTCCCGACGTTTTGGGTGCTTTACAGCAACCCATGGTCACGGGGTAGCCGGGCTAACTGTTATTTAATATTAAAAAACTGAAGGTAGCCGGGCTAACTGTGACATAGGGCGGTCAAACATCTCAGTCCCCCCCGTGACCATGGGTTGCTGTAAAGCACCCGAAACGTCGGGAATTAAAATAGTAAATTAACCGTGATAAAATCCGTAAAAAATAGATTTATTCAATGTGTAGTGTTCGCGTAAATATAAGAAATAATCATATTTTTTTATTCATTCAGGTGAAAATTTGGTTTCAAAATCGGAGAGCAAAATGGAAGAGAGTTAAAGCTGGTCTGGCATCTGGAAGTCATTCTGGTGGAAAGAATGGGTCAGGCACCAAAATAGTAGTCCCAATACCTGTTCACGTAAATCGATTCGCAGTTAGAACACAACATCATCAGATGGAAAAACAGAACGGTCTTCAATACCGGTTAGATAGAACACAACCACTGCCTGGAAGCTTATTGCAATCGCAAACATCAGCGTTTCTAAGCGCAACAAAAGTTAATACAGAAAGTCGTCAGGAACCAGTCATTTTGAATCCCGTCCTAAATCGTAACACTATTTATGATGCAAACATGTCTGCGAGGTTGGCATCTATGAGTCAAGCAACTAATTTAAGGCATTACCCCAGTCAAAATGGCCGACACAGTTAATTTTTATGTAAAGATTTGTATCGAGTTTATTGTGTAAAGTAAATAGTAGGTTAAGTGAGCAATATTGCCTAAATATTATGTAATAAATTTATGATAAATAAATACTGTGTGATAATTAACGTTTTTGAATTTTTAATATATAGTTTATGTAAAGATTTTCAAGGATATGACAAATCACAAGCATACTCTTGTACATAATTGCTACGTGGTAGAGCCATAGTGCAGCTATATTAGTAGTGTAGTTGTAGCACGAATGGGTCGGCTCGACTGGGGAAGGACCACGCTCTCACAGAATACCAACGTGAAATAGCAGCTTAACACTGCTGTGTTTCGTGTGGTGAGTGTAGAGAACCGGAGACCCTTTTTACTGGAAAAGAGGCATTCCATCTAAGTCCTCACGGGTGACAATGCATCTGCATTTTGATTCGCTAACGAGGATAGATGTAGATGTCTATGGGCCACAGCATCCACTTACCATCAGGTGGACTGTGTGCTCGTTTATCACCCTATCCTATAAAAAAATACTCAATAAGCTAATTGCAAGTGATGTGGCGGACGTATTACGTGTAAGTTATTAGTCTAAGCAGAAACCTCACACTATAGTCTTAGACACTACTTCCCTCAATCTAGGTTTATTTCGCGTGTCCTTTTACTAACACCTTTCCACTTTTTAACTTTTGTGGCATTTACGAGTTATGTTTGTGTCAACAATCCTTTAATTTACGGCATGGATGTATGTGAAGTACTAAATTATTATTTTAGTTAGGTTTATCATTTGGAGTGACGGTGTAAGAATATCCACTACCCCATACCGTCCAATGGGTGGCGTAAGAGGTGACAGGAGGAAACAAACTAGGAGATGGGCGTCAGAGTCTTCCTGATAACAACTCAAAATTATAAAAAACTGCGGTTGCCAACCCGCTTGCCAAGCGTGGCAACTATGGCAAAATGTCCCCTATGAAGCCATCTACGGGTGAGGCCGGTGTTCAGCAGTGGACTTTAGGCTCTAATGGAATGGATTGATCATTTGAATCATATTATTTTTTTAATAAATTAATTAAAAAGTCTTTACTTCAATTTAATACTACTGTTACCCTACAGGGAATGACTAGTGGGCGTAACTTTCGGTACGCTTTCAGTAGTACGTTTATTTTTGATAAAACCAACAAAAGTGCGGATTTGAAAGAAAACTATTACAGAAAGCAATTTTATTTTTATTATAGAATAGAGTTCAATATAACTTAACAAACATTTCCAACCATTTATTTGGAGTATATTTCCGCAACATTTCTACATTTGTGAACAATTTAATATCAGTCAGTGAAAATACTATTTTTTTCAAGTTAATATAAAGCTGACTTTCCGTTGATAAAATAAAATCGTACCCTTAACCTTAACGTTCGTGTATGTCGTCAATGTTATGGAAAATTGGATATTATTGACACAGGATACGGGTTAGTTTTAAATATCAATTGTATCTGTCAAAGGGCTGTCAAAAGCACAGACTATAATGCAATTGCCCTTTGACATTTGTCACAATGAAAATGAATGATAGCTGTTATTATTGTTTAATTGTATAGTGTAGGGTGAGCATTTTAGATAAAAGCAAAAACTCTTAGATATAAATTACAAACTGTAGGCGTGTAGGTATTGGTATCGCAACCTTGCTATCGACGTTCGTCTATTCTGTGGAGTAAAAGTTTAAATACATATATATATTAATGCTCATGCTTATATTCATGATGAAACTTTACGACAAGGATGAATTGGAAACTTAATCCTCCGCACGCCCCGCATTTCGGTGGCTTATGGGAGTCTAATACAAAATCTGTCAAATCGCATTTAAAAAGATCTATTGGAGATCAGCTATTTACATATGAGGAACTTTTGATCGTGCTCTGAGGCTCTTGAGGTTAAAATGAATTCACGTCCCTTAACAGTTTTAAGCTCCTAACCCTCTGAACCTTTACACATTTTTTAACATTAGGACCGGACGCTTTAGCCCTTTCACATTTTTTAACATTTAATACCTTGCTTATTATTTTTTTTTGTTATAGAATAAGGGTAACAAACGAGCAGACATTCCACCTGATTTATCCTCAATTAAGAGTCAAAATACAGATCCGTTTCTCACCCCTGAGGATTGAGATGGAATGCCTCATTTCCAGTAAAAAGGGTCTCCGGTTCCTCTACACTCACCATACGAAACACAGCAGCATTAAGCTGCTATTTTACGCTGGTATTCTGTGAGAAATATGGAAGCCGGAGATTCTTAGCCTATATCTCAAACCCTGAAAACGGGATTGTACAACCAGTGCGTGTTGTCAGTGATGACTTATGGATCTGAGACGTGGTCCTTCACTGCTGGCCGTATGAGGACGCTCAAGGTCGCTCAGCGAGCTATGAAGAGGACTATGCTCGGAGTTTCTCTGCGTGATACACTTAGAAAAGAGGATATCCGCAGTAGAACCAGAGTAACCGACATAGCCCAACGGATTAGTAAGCTGAAGTGGCAATGGACCGGCCATATAGCTCAAAGAACCGACAACCGATGGGGAAGAAAGGTACTCGAATGGCAGCCTCGTACCGGTAGGCGAAGTGTAGGGCACACTCCCCACTAGATGGAGTCACGACCTGGTAAGGCCTGCAGGAAGTTGATGGATACAGGCGGCTCGGGACCGTGCTTTGTGGCATTCCTTGGGGGAGGCCTATGTTCAGCAGTGGACTTGTGAAAGGCTGTAGTGATGATAATGATATATTAAAATCCAAAAAAATGCTAAAACATTTTACGAGATCATCAGTTGCAAGGAACTATATGTTGTATTTGTTTAGAACTTCTATTTCTGCCTAGGAGTCAGTCTGGGTAGAACCACCCTCATAGCTATTTCTACCGTCAAATAGCTTACTAACTTAAACTACTGTGTTCCGGCCAAATAGCCAATAGAATTACAGTCTGTGTCTATATTCCATCTTAGTTCACAGCGGTGACAATGCAGCTGTAGCCCTCTTTATTTTAAGTACTGTAGCACAATGCTACACTAGTCACAAACCATCAGATAGACTATTAGTTTGTTTGTCACTTTTATTTTATAAAAAACATACCTAATTACATAGCTAATGGCAGCGCTGCTTAATAGAACGAAAATTGAAGTTAAAACTATAATATAAAGATTGCAGCATGAATGGGTCGGTTCGATCGGGTAAGGACCACGGTCTCACAGGATACCGGCGTAAATTAGCAGCACAATGCTACTGTGTTTCGTATGGTGAGTATAGAACCGGATACCCTTTTTATTGCAAACGAGGCATTCTGCATTTTGATTCTTAATCGAGAATAGATGTAGCTGTCTATGGGCCACAGCGTCCACTTTCCATCAGGTGGACCGTGTGCACGTTTGTAACTCTTATTCTATAAAAAAAAGAAAAAATGAAAGATGAAATAAAATCTTCTACGTGGTAGAGCCATGCTGCAGCTATATTATGGTTGTAGCATGAATGGGTTGGCTCGACCGGGGAAGGACCACGCTCTCACAGAAAACCAGCGTAAAATAGCAGCTTAACGCTGCTGTGTTTCGTATGGTGAGTGTAGAGAACCGGAGACCCTTTTTACTGGCAAAGAGGCATTCCATCTTAGTCCTCACGGGTGTCAACGCATCTGCATCTTGAGTCTTTATTGAGGATAAATGTAGATGTCTATGGGTCACAGTAACCACTTACCATCAGGTGGACTGTGTGCTCGTTTGTCAACCGATACTATAAAAAAAATGAAAGTTACCAGAAAATGTGCATAATGCAACGTGGAGCCATGCGTATTCCGAGCAGTATAGTTTGTGAGAATGACAGTACTCATATCTTAACCAAGTGCTACGTGACACGTGAATGAAAACTTATGGTTTTATCATCTTGCAATATTTTCATTTACCTCCGACACGAGTTAATTAAACACATAAAATTGTAATCAACATTTATACCGATAAAAATTGCTCTATATAAATGAACTATTTATACTTTTTGGTGATACTACTGGGTAGTGAGTTCCTTGGTTCAAATTCCAGGTGGAACCGACATTTGTCTTACACAGTAAATGACATTTATCGAAAACAAAAATTGTTGGTTATCGTATTCAGATCCTTTATGATGTGATATCCCGGTATCTCTCAAAATGCTTTCTAGCTTATTATAAATTTGCTATAACATATTTTTTTATTTGACCAAAATAATTGTTTCCTTTTATAGGATAAGGGAGACAAAGTAGCACACAGTCCACCTGATAGTAAGTGGATGCTATGGTCTATAAACATCTACATGTATACCCGCTTAAGAATCAAAATGCATATACATTGTCCCAAGAGGACTAAGAAGTAATTAATCGTTTCCAGTAAAATGAGTTTTCGGTGCTCTATACTCACCATATGAAACTCGGCTGTTAATACAATACCAGCGTAAAATAACAGCTTAATGGCTGCTATTTTACGCTGATATTTTATGAGAGCGTGGTTCTTCCCTAGACGAGCCGAACCAATCGTGCTATAACCATAATATAGCTATAGCATGGCTCTACCACATAATGTATGAAAAGGTTAATTTATTTCAACTATACCGTTAAAGTTCGTTAACATTAAATAGGATGGATTCAAATAATTGTGCTTTAAGCCCGCCGTTGAACCATCTATAATGCTTGCTATTGTACGATCACACCTCTTTGTAACTAGCATCGTTTTGTCGCGCGACTCCGCCCACAGATTAGCGTAAAGCGAACCTATTACCGACACATCTGTCGAACCTTATGTCATACCGCTACTTATTGTTATGTTTTGATTTGACTTTTAACGTCAGCTGATCTACACCAAAGGTTAAAATAAAAGTTATTTTATTGTATTAATATCAAAACACTGCATTAGTAGAACAAAAGAAATCCTTGGTATTACAAGAAAAATTATTTATAAAAGGGGTAACGCTAGAATTTACATGTGTATCGTACTTGCTTTAAAGAAATTACT